GAGGGGAGATGGATGACGGGTTGATTGTCTTGTGACTGTCCTAACTGATAGCAAACTCAATTAGCTTATTTGAAAGAAAATCTCCTTTGTGCTGGAGCCACAAAGGTCAATGCCACAGAGAGAGAGAGCTCTGAGGTAAGATTACTACGAAAAGGCAGAACCGCAAAAAAAACATGATCATTAGACTAAAATGACCAAATTTCAGAGAAATGCTGCAGGAAAGCAAAGAGAAACTGGAGTGACTCCACACTGAGAAAGAGTCCAGAGGGGACAGAGAGCTTTACATAATATTTAACTTGGAGATCATAGTAATTGACTTTGCAGAGTGAGTCCCTAAAGAGGCATTTCTTAAAACAGTTTCATGTTGTGGCTTAGCAGATATCTGGATGTGCTCAGGAACTCGAAAATCACAGGATTAATGTTTGATCAGCACACTTTTCAGTTTTTACCCATTTCACACATTTTTTCAAATCATGCAGGCTTTAAAATGCAGACAGAAGGAACTGACATGTAATAGGAATATCAATCAAACACTTACAACAGATATAAATGCATCTACTTACATTTGGATTTATTATTTGCTGTAAAAAATTTTTTTTTTTTTTTTTGATGCCTTGTGAGGTCTACACGGACCCCTCTGCTATATATGAAGGCTATATCCAGCAGAAAGAGGGGAAATAGAAGAGTAGTAAAACTGCAGGACAGATAAGTGAAATATTATAGAATACATTTTTACTTTTAATAGTTCAAATTCCACAAATTCCAAAGTGCAAATTACTTACTTTTTTAGGGAATGGGATGTTTTTTGTCCTCCTCTCCTTTGCTGTAATATCGCCGTCCTGTCCACTTCTTCTCTCTGAACACCGTGTTGAAGTCTGTTGACAGTCAGTGTGCAAACACTTAAACTTGTGTCTGCCCTGCATAAGAACTATGATGCTGTGCACATTCACCTCTCTCTCTCTCACCTCTGTCTTATTCTTTCCCCACCCTTCTGTTCTTTTGTCTACTTTTTCTCTCCACTTTCTTTTTCTCTTGCATCTTTTTTTCTTTAATTCTTTCTCTCCTTCTCGGTCTCTTTCTCCCCCTCTCCATCTGTTGGGCTCTGTGTTCTCACTCCCTCACAAACTATCACTCTTTTCCAGATGTACACCTTTTCTTTAGGTTTATTTGATGTTTTTCTCCCTCCAATCATTTGCCCTTTTTCCTCTTATAGTGACTTTTCATAGACATAATGGTTTTCATAATAAATTACACAAACAACAGACCTTATATAGTACATAGTGAAGACTTTTCATAATGGTTCTCATAATAAATTATAATTAAACCAAAACCTTAATAAAATCTCAACATTTTGAAGCATTCTAAACATCATGAGCATTTCAAATAGTGATAACCACTTAAAATGTCCTCATCAGTCAGTTTTTGACCCGTTTCATTCTGCGAGGACGTTTTCTCAGTATAGCCAAATCTGGACACACACACTGTTACGGGGCGAACGAGACGTGAGACATGCGGATCCATCTGCAAAGCTTTTATTAAAAGACGTGGTCAACCACAGGCAGGGTCGAAACACCAGCGAACAGGTATGGTACGGGCAAAACACAAGAGCAGTCCAGTAAACAGGCGTGGGTCGATCGACTGTGAACAATATCCAACAGGGCAAGGCAAAGAGAGATAATCCAGGTACATAGCAATAATCCAGGCAGGGGCAAACAGAGTCCAAAACAACAAGACAAAAAGGGTAATCTGAAAACACAGACAAGAGCTTGAACACAGGAAAACAGGCGAGACTATTGGTGCATTCAAGTCATGTCGGATAGATCGTATTTACCAGTTGAACACACATGAACGCCACCACAAAGTCGTTATTACGAGTGGGAAATTCAAAATTTTCTTTAAGCCCCGAGTTTCCGAGTTGGGGGCGTGTCAGTGAGAAACATGGCGGAATCGATGGATGCAATGTCTGTAGTTGACGGTAAATTTTTGTTTAAATTGATAGTTTAGTTGTCCTATAAACTTAAATTGGTCATGTTTTTGTTACGCAGCTAGTTAATGAAATCCAAGTAAATAAAATGCTATATAATTTTTGCACCTATAGGTGAAAAATCTTTTTGCCATGTTGCATGTTGCATTTAGCTAACAGCTTTTTTTAATCTCTGCATTTTAGCATTTGTTGATGCTGAAAATCAGTTATACTGGGATCCTGGTCTAAAAAAAAAATATTAAAAATTAATTACGACTTGTCAACTCGTAAGTACGAACGTCCCAGGAAAACTTGAAAGCAGCATGACTAAACTAGGAAAACTGGAACTGGCTCCGTAAAGTGCTATCACTAGGAGAGTAATAAACACAGACAATACTCAGCGACTTGAGCAGGATCTGGGTGGATGTTATATAGTGTGTGTGTAATAGCTTTCAGGTGAGCGTGTGATTGGTTATAGCTGTGTGCAATCAGTGCAATGGATGATGGGAAATGTAGTCCAGGGTATAGTGTAACAGTCTGTGTAGTGTGAGAGTCCATGTAGTGAGCAGGTGACCTCTGGTGGTGAGTGAACAGAAGTTCATAGACCGGATTCGTGACACACACACACACACACACACACACACACACACAGAGAATCTAGCAGGTGAACAGAGCAGTCAGTCTCATAAATCAGGTCTCACATGATTTCTGTTATTCAGTCAAAAGGCACTTTAACATCACTGAGCAACAACTGCATCAACTTGCATGTGCTTTTCAGTTGGAATGCTCTTTATTAAAAGCACTGCATTCATAATTCAGTCTCTACATCTTACAGTATTATTTCCATGGTAACGGTGGGTGAATATTTGTGGGCCACTACAATAAAAGTCTGAATTAAATCTAGTTAAACCTGTACAAAACAATGTCCAGACTTATATCTGTCTTATATATTTTGATATAAGAAACATATGTGCCAAAGGTTATACCATTTACCTTGATGGGGACTTATTCATACTTTAGTATTTAATACAAGACATTCATAAAACAATTGTCCAGACCTCGCTGTCAAGATAAAAACCCTGTACAGTCACTTCAAAAAATAAAAAAAGGATATAACATAAAAGAGGTTCCTGGATTGAGGAAAATGACCAAAAAGATGTTTAATCTATTTTATGGTCATTTATATCCAGGAGCCTAGTTTAAATTCCTAAATTTAGACAGTAGAATAAATATACAAGTCTATACTTCTTCTTCTCCTTCTATTTTTCTTAGTCTTCTTCCAAAGTTTTTTTTTTTCTCACAAAAGAATTAACCTTTTCTTAAATGCTTTGGTGGTAATGTAGTCCTTTACTACCATGCTTATATGTGTTGCCTTTGACTCTCATTATGACTGCAGAAATAAAACGATCAAAGAGATTACGGGACGGAAATATTTTTATTCCCTGGTATCCAGATGTTATATTTGTTGTGCCTCTATCTGCTCTCTCTCTCACCCTGGTCTGTTTTTGTGGTATGTGAAGTCAGTTTTGCCTGGCTTATGAGTATGTGAGTATTTCTTTACTTCAGCTCAGAAGTCACAAGGTACTCATGCCCCTGTTTCTCATTAAACAAGGCAATTTGTCACCTCTAACTGAATTCCTTGCTCTTCTCTTCACCTCACTCTCCATATATCATCTCCCTATCTCAGTCTCTTTATCATTATCATACATTTGGAACTTGAATATTCCACTATTTCGAATGTTTAAGGTGATATATATAATAATGGCTGTATTTTGTTCTTGTTAATCTTTTTTTTTTATTTTTTACGTCTTCACTTATAACACTTAATCGTATTTCTATCTGTTATCTATTGTTAATCATAAATTATATATTTTTTCTATATATACAGTAATATTTAATTCATACTAAACGAAGGAAAAAGTGGAAAAGGATTCTGTACTGCTGTTTTTTATTTATATGCCCTGGCGCTAATTATGTGTAGCCTATTTCAGTGACAGTGACGTAATCATTACGTAATTCACTTTTGATTATTTTGGAACTCCTCTTTATTTCATGTGAGTCATGCGCTCGCTCACAAAGTATCGTGTGCTCTTCTGCTGCCACCTGGTGGTCAGAGTAGACAGAGTAGCATTTTTAAACCACATTACTGAATTCGGACCGGCTAGCTTCTGCATATAAACCAGGGCTGAGTTCAGCTTGGAGTGAGAATTCCCACGGGGGTTGGTTGGGGTTGTTTTGTTAAAACACACACACGCACGCACGCACGCACGCACGCACACACGAATCCTGTCAGCAGAGTCTTGTCTTGACATCTGACAACGTCATTATGATGTCTGCCCTTACCAAAAAGTAGTATACTTCAAGTTTATTTTAGTAAGTATACTTAAGTAACTGTTTTATGATAAAATTATGTAAAATAACTGTTGCAATGCTGCAAAACAGATAACTTTTTACCACAACAAGAATAGCAATGTACAGTGAGAGAACTGTAAGATTTACAAGTCATAATTGCAACCGCATTTCAAACATATTTTGATATAAAATTACAATATTTCTCTATTAATCTTTAGTCTGCATTTACATTGCTTAATGCCTATATATTTTGACAAATGACATTTTCTCCAGTACATTAGCCTACTATGGTTATAATCATTATGTCAGTCATTGCAGTTTCGAAAATGAATCATACTGCATAATGAGTGATGAGGGATTTATGTCGTCGTATGTTTGTTGCGTGTGCATGTGGCCATTGGTCCTCTTATCAGCACAAAAACAAAACTTTTATTCAAATTCGGAATGGATTATACGTAGTCTCGAAAGAGCGCAAGCGCATTTCAGTGTTGAAAAAACGTTTAAGTTTAGATCTAGATTTAATTATGCCAACCAAAATCAACAGTTCTGTAAAAGGACATAATTAAGGAAGTGAGGAGTGAGAGAGGAAGTGGTTTCTGACGATTGCACGAGATCCTGAGAAGATTGTACTTCTTATGAGGGTCCTGTGAACATCCACTCTGGTGTAATATGGCTTAACTTCCCGTGTTGTCTGGACAGACATCAGTTCTTTACCACTTCGTTTCTGAGCTTTGATTAAACAACAGAGAGAGAAAACGTGGCTGATTTTGTTTCAAATGAAAGGAAATGTAAATTTTGCTCAAGGATGTATGTAGCCAAGCTTGTCCTGTATTGGATCATAATTCTGTGCTTTAGGCAGGAAACTCAAGGTATTGTTGATCTTTATTTATGTGTCATTACAGTGTGTGTTTTATTTAATTTTTATTATTGTATTGCTGGATTTCTCACTCACACCCTCTTAAGCTGAATTAGAAACCATAAGTTATGAAAATATCAGGAGAGCACAGATGGTTCAATAATGCCATGTTCTCTCCTCCATCCCTCCAGCCAAACCTACAATCTATATGCTGAACAGAACCAGAGTGGCACTAGCAGGAGAAACTCTTTACTTCAACCTGTCAGTGGACATCCCAGCAAACTACACTACTAACAAACTTAAATGCTACCATACTCAGAGCAGGATGATAATTTGGAGTAAAGAACTTAAAAGTGAATTTTTTGAAACTACAAAGTCGGTGATGGCACATATCAAAATGCACAATAGCTCCAGTTCTGGCAATTACTACTTTTATTATACAGATCAGCAAGTGCATTTGGTGGTTCATGTGAGAGGTGAGTACGCAGATCATTGATCATCCAGGACTGGTCCTACATTCTATTTGCTCCATGATTGAAATGCACTGGTGACTTATGCTAATCTCTCAGTCAGAGCTTTTGTAAGTATTAGAATATGTATGAATCTTGAAATTAACAGTTTAAATTTCTGATTTTTACTTCAGAAACTTTTCACTTGATAAGTTTGTGGCTTGTGAACCAATAGGAAATCAACCATCGTCTTACGCTTATGCATTTGTGTTTTGATGTGATGTGACGTGATGGGACTGTTTTTGATTGTATTGTGATAAGCTGTCTTGGTGTTCTATACGCACCCTCTGTGAAAATGAATTTCCTCTCTGAGGACAAATAAATTATATATATCTAGATAGGCTGGACAGATAAATAAAGAGGTTAATTACGAATGCGTACAAAAAATAAAGACAGCACGTGAGTTTGGCCATGTGACATGTTGGACTGAAACTGCCACTTTCAGCAAAAGAAAAGCGGTAATGCAAAAACTGAGCCAGAAACAAAATTCCTTTGTTACATTCTCTCTATTTCCTCCTTGTTTCTGCACTCTTACCCCAACTCTTGGTTTTCCAGATAAAGGTTATCAGCAGCCACCTGAGGAGTTAGACAGTGCCATCATCACAATGATGGCATTCTCAGGAATTCTTCTCATCTTCAGTGTTGCTGGGTCACTTTACATATTAAAAAGCTACAAGGTAAAACTTGGCTGCACATTGTGTCGTAGAAACATTAGAACAATTTATTCTAATTTGTTGAATGTAAGTTTATTTAATTTCAGATGCTTTCTTGTATACTTTAATGCATGAATTAGATGATACTCATGCTGTAAAAGTTCAGGCAATGAATTTCTGTACATCTCAAAGGACTCAATCTTACAATGAGGGGTTATACACTGGACGTGTGAACATTGATTATAACATTACAATGGCACCTGTCAAGGGGTGAGATATATTGGGCAGCAAGTGAACAGTCTTTCATGTGTTGAAAGCAGGAAAAATGGGCAGGTGAAAAGATCTGAATAACTTTGACAAGGGCCAAATAGTGATGGCTGGACGACTGGGTCAGAGCAGCTCCAAAACACCAAGTCTTGTTGGGTGTTTCCGGTATGCAGTGTTTAGTACCTACCAAAAGTTGTGTAAGGAAGAACAACTGGTAAACTGGCGTCAGGGTCATGGGCGTTCAAGGCTCACTTATGCACATGGGGAGCAAAGGCTAGCCCATCTGGTCTGATCACAGAAGAGTTACTGTAGCTCAAATTGCTGAAAAACTTAATGCTGGCCATGACAGAAAAATGTCAGAACACAGTGCATCACAATTTGCTGCATATGGGGCTGCGTAGTCCCCATGATGACCCCTGTCCACCGCCGAAAGCACCTACAATGGGCACGTGAGTGTCAGAACTAGACTATGGAGCAGTGGCCTTATCTGATGAATAACGTTTTCTTTTAGATCAGGTGGATGGTTGGGTGCGTATGTATCATTTACCTGGGGAAGAGATGGCAGCAGGATGAACTATGGGAAGAAGGCAGGCCGGTGGAGGGTTCTGACATTCATGTGGATGTTACTTTGATACTTACCACTTGCCTGAAGATTGTTTCAGACCCCCTGATGGCAGTGGCCTCTTTCAGCAGGAAAATAGTTAAGGAATGATTTGAGGAACGTGAAAAAAAAAAAGAGTTAGAAATGTAGATGTTGCCTTTGTCTCCAGATTCCCCAGATCTCAATTCGATTGAGCATCTGTGGGATGTGCTGGACCAGCAAATCTGATCCATGGAGGCATCACCTCACGACTTGCAGGGCTTAAAGGATCTGTTGCCAATGTCTAGATACCACAGGACACATTATGAGATTTTGTGGTGTCCATGCTTCAACGCATCAGAGCTGCTTTGACAACACAAGGGGGACCGATATTAGGCAGGTGGTTTTAATGTTATGACTGATCAGTATTTATGGACTCATAACTAAACGGTAAATGTCAGTTCAGAAAAGATGATCTATGTGCTATTATGCAAGATGTGTAATCCCACTTGGCTCCAGATGGACTGTCCAGAATTGCTTTGATTGCAAGATGGTGCTGTTAAGACCAAAAAAGGGCACACATGTACTGTCCAGAAAAACACATGTGATACTGTTAGTTTCAGCTCTAGTTTTGCCTCATTACTTTTAGGAACACCCTGCTTGTAGAGATGACAAAAATGAAGTTGCAGAGCAGAGGCCAGGGGGGAATGATGAAGTGATATTGGATGAGGATCCTGCATCTGCATCACTCTACACAGTGAGATAACAGTAAAAGAGTCTGTTTCTCTTTTGGAAAGTAGTCATTTGCTCTTTCTTTGTCTCTGTCTTTGGTATTTGTTGGTAAAAGGTTTTTCTACCTGTTTCAATAAGAATTTTAAATGAAGTCTCAAATAAATTTATGCATAATCTAATACTCCCGTCCAACAGGCGCTACAATACAGATCAAGCTCCATTTATGATTCATTGCATCCAGACACGATGCATGAAGAAAACACATTGAAGAAAAAATCAGTTAAAAAGGTTTGTTTTATAAATGGTGTAATATTATATGACATGTATAGCCTATAATGTAGTCCTACATTAAAAATTGGTTTTAAAAATGTAATATACAACTTCAGGTATTGAATATATAAACACAGAGTGCATAGTGCATTTACTGAAGATATAATAATGCAGTGAAGACACTTCATGACATAAACTTTGCATTTATATATATATATATATATGTATATGTATATATATATATGTATATACAGGTAAACATGAAACTAATTTAAGTCTTGTTTCAGAATACCAACCGTTTCTATTGCTTTGTTCTCTTTCAGCACTGCAAAGCACAAGAAGATGAAGTATTTGATTCTGTCTATGAAAACTTGTGAATGAATGAAGGAATGATTCGAGTTAATGAATTTCATGTATGAATACCTGCTGGAATGTACTTGGTGTCAAATAAAGATTTTTTTTGTATAATTGAATATTTTATGGGCCAGTATAACATAAAATAACATAAAATAAATGAAATATCAAAACGACTGAATATGTGTCGTTTTTCATCAAGCCTCTCACCTTCTTCCATAAAAATGCGGTGGATTTTCTGCGAAAGCCCCGCCCTTAAGCTGTGTAAACCAATCAAAAGACATCTTTAGATGTGTGCAACCAATAGGAACACTCGTATCTGAACTTCCTGTCTCTTGCTCCTCTTGAAGTGTCAACAATGGCAGCCGAGGGAGATTTTCTGACGCGCTACCGGGCGGTGTCAAATAAACTGAAAAAGTAAGAGCTAAAATTACAGCTTTATATCACTAATACTACAATGTTTGCAATGTTAACTTTGGTAGACTATTAATGTTGTCTACAATACTGAGCGTAACCAAAGAATGTCATGCCAGCACTACACATCCCTCACAAGCATGTTGCTAATTAAATCTCAAGAGCTACTAAATAAAGTTCGCGTCAATCTATTATTGTAAAATTACAGAAGATTTATGTATGAACAGCTGAGGATGACATCTTGTAGATGTTTAGTTTCATGCCAGCGGCTTTTTATGATGAACAATCCCAGAGTACGTTCAGTATGGAAGTTCAACCTGTCAAATTAATCTCATTTAGTGGCGTTTTAATATTTAGTTCTCCTCCTTTAAATCACAGACGTTTTCTGCGGAAGCCTAATGTCGCTGAAGCAAGTGAACAGTTCGGTGAGTATTGTGTCAGAAGAGTGATGCTGTGCAGCAGTGCTACTCTCTGTTTATCATTATATGACATCTTTCCTCAGGTCAGCTGGCCAAGGAGCTCAAACAGCAGGACTGTCCTCAGTATGCTGCCTTCTGTAATCTCGCCATGGCCCGGTAACACAGCCTCTCTCATTTCTTCATCCTTGTGTCTGATGTGAGCAACATGTGGAATTTTTTCTTCTTCTCTGTTTTCGTAGCTGTGAGCAGACCATGTTCAATGCTCCAGGAGAAGCCCTGGCATTGACTGATGCAGCCAGACTCTTTCTGGCCTCAGAACAGGAAACCAGAGCGCTGAGGGTTCCTGGTTTCGATGAGAATATGCAGGCAGCCATGAACTGCTATAGTTTTGCGATTAAGGTATTTATCGGAATCAAATTTATTACCAGATGCTTATGCTCAAGCAGATGAGCATATATAAAAACAGGTTGTTATTTTACAGAATGCTGGGCTCAGACTTGCATGCACAGATTTAAATAGAATGAAAAGACACTTGTGATTTTATATTTTTGATACAAATAAACTGCTCAGTTTAGCCTGACATATGTTATTTTAGTATAATTGAGATATTATTGTAGTTTTTATTAAAACGGTTTATTTTTATATTTTCTGTTTACATTTTGTTTTTGTCATATTTTCTTGGTTTTTGATGTCTATGTAGGTTTTATAAATGTTTATTTCAATTTTACATATTTTAGAACATTTAAACTAGTTAAACTAAATAAAATAAAACAAGTTTTATATAACATTTATTTTATTTCAAGTAAGGAAAATGTTTTTATGGTTTTAGTTTTATTTAACTTTAATAACCCTGGCCTGACAGAACCATCAAGCCTAATATTACTTGCTATTCACTTTTGTTCACTATTACAGCCTCATTCACAGTTAGAGGAAGAGAGGGTGAGGATGAGCAGCTAAATAACCAATACAAGCAAACCAACATTTGTTTCTAAAGTAATAAATCACCCGGAAATGAAACAAATGTAACTAATTTTCGTTAGCTGCTAGATTCTGTTTCACATGTTTCATGTTCAAATGCTCCTAAAAATTAATTGAAGTCATTTGAAGAATACGTCTCTCTACTGGACTAATATAGTAAAAAGCCTAAAATCTTGCAATCGTATGCAGATTGTGTTTTTTTTTAAAATATTTTTTAGATGTTATACTGCAAATATGTACTTATATATTGTTTAGGTCTATATTGAGATGAATCAGCCTGTTATGGCGGCCAGTCTCTCACTGGAGCTTGGCAATGCTCTGAAGGTGAGACATTAATCATTGTAATACATGGAGCGGCTTTCTGTTCATAAATGAATTAAAGCGCATATTCATCTTGTTCCACGGTGCTTAATCATGTTGTGGTCCTGTTTATATATTTGTGTGTAGGAGATGAACAGACCCGGGGAGGCGATAGTTCATTTCCAGAGAGCCACAGAACTGCAGATTCAGACTCCAATTGAGGCCCTGCTGTCACTGTGGGAAATGGCCTCCTGCAAAATACTGACCCGTGAGTTCAAAGATAGCAGCGTTTTCCTGCCAGAATGCAATGATTCATTTTGGTATTGCGTTTCAGATGCCGTTCTGTGGTTGTCAGAGCTGTGATGTGATGTTTGATTGGTAGGTGATCATGAGGGCGCTCTTGCTGTTCTCTCTGAGATGCAGCACATGTGTCAGGAAAGAGGACTACAGCTACCCGGGACAAACACCCCTGTCGGTATGAACATTCACAACATTATACAATCAGTCTTAGTTTTGAAATCTAGCTGGGTGTGGTTTGGTGGCCTAATTTTAGGGATTTTCACCAGATTTGCTGTTTATTTGAATTTCCTGATTATACCCTGCAATCACAAATTTATAAGAAGCAGTCATGTTATATTTTGTGACTGATTTTCACGCTTGTCAAACATCTGTTTTGCAGACTGAGTCAGCAGTCTTTTAGTTTGTGTATTTGACATCTGCTAATAATAATGACGCCAAGAAAATTAAGCATATGCTGTAAGATTCTTTAGATTCATGCTTCAATTCTGTTTGTTTTAATTCCAGGAGCATATATGGATATCATAGCAAAGTGCGAAATCTCCAGGGTATTACTTCTTATGTTGCTTGAGGTAAAATATATATTTAAAATCTGTAAGTTTTACAAATAAGCTCACATTTTGGACAATATGTTAAGAAACCAGACCAATAGCATTAGTGTTTGTTTACTATCCTCAAATGACACTTCATTTATTCAGTAAAATAAAAAAAAACTTTAAAGAAGTTCATTTAGATTGACGCGAAGTTCATTTATTTCAGTAATTCAACTAAAATTGTGAAACTCGTGTATTAGTATCTTTTTTTAAGCCTCCCCCTCAAAAGCTGTTACCCGAGCATGCTCAAACACTAGAGCGATATGCATGGGAATCCTTCGACTCACACAGTCAGGGTAAGACTTGCGAGCAAAACGGAGAACCAGGCACAATGTTTTATTTGGTTGCTATTCTTTATAAACTGTTGTTACCGTCTGTCCTTTAGTAAACTTCCTTCCAGAAAATGTGTTCCTCCTTCTACAGTCGGTTGTGGTGAGTATTTAAAATCTGTTTGTAAAATTAGGTTGTTAAAATAACCACATTTAAAACCTGTATTCAAAATCCAGTTTAAACCTGGAAATAATCTGAAAACAAGTTTTCAGATTCTGAAATATTTAAAACAAAGCATTATGATATTAAACAACATAGAAATATATTTGTGACCCTGGACCACAAAAGCAGTCTTAAGTCACTGGGGTATATTTGTAGCAATAGCCAAAAATACATTGTATGGGTCAAAATTATTGATTTTTCAATAATGCCAAAAATCATTAGGATATTAAGTAAAGATCATGTTCCATGAAGATATTTTGTAAATTTCCTACTGTAAATATATCAAAACTTAATTTTTGATTAGTAATATGCATTACTAAGAACTTCATTTGGACACCTTTAAAGGCCAGATTTTCAAATAGTTGTATCTCGGCCAAATATTGTCCTATTCTAACAAACCATACATCAATGGAAAGATTATTTATTCAGCTTTCAGGCTATATATAAATCTCAATTTCGAAAAATTGACCCTTATGACTTGTTTTGTGGTCCAGGGTCACATATTAAAAAATTGAATTGTTATTTCAGCTTTTTATGTACATTTTTACATGTAATTAATGTAATTTGCAGTGAACAAAATTAGAAAAATTCAAAATAGAAGCATTTTCAGTAGTGGTGTCTTACTTTTAGACTGCACTGTTTGCTCGAATGTCAAAAATGCTATAAATTACTAGTAGAACTCCTATCTTGGATTAAGATGGCTAAATGGTCTGACTGGCCTGTTTACAGATGGCCTGTCAGGAAAAGGATACAGAATCTCTCAAGGCTCTCCAGACAGAACTATGGTGAACTTGATGCATTTCCTGACTCATACTATGCATTTATATATATTAAGACTGAAGCCTTTGGAATTAGATAAACAACACCTTTCTCTTCTCTCACAACAGGCCTCTCCTTTCGGCAGAACAGAATCATCTTCTCCACTTAGTGGTTCAGGAACGAATTACACCCTCCGGTCAGGGCATATGATTTGGTGCCATACACCCCCACAAAACAGTTCTTATTGGAACATTCCTAAGCCAGTGCCTTGTGCATTTTGCATGAGGAATGTAGAAGGTCACTGAACCTAGCAGAGCTGTACATACTCATATGAAAATGTCTCAAATAACAGAAGGTTTCTTTGCTTTTGTGATATGAATGTACACGTTATTCCCCATTTTCATATAATGGCAAGATATTGTGTGAAAAAGGTAAATTATTATGTTGAAGCTTATTTAAAGTTGTAAAATATTGATGTTGTAAATAATAAAATAACAAAAGAAATTCTTATCTTATGGCAAGGTCTTTATTTGTGTGATTACTAAAATTAATGTCCTCCCAGGTTTACACTGATTGGCTTTGCATTGAAAAAATAAAGTCCTTTCCATTTACTGTCATACTGCAACATAGAAATACATCTAGAGCTGGCTAAAACTTTAACCAAACAAAGTAAGGAGCTTCTTCCTTGAGAGGATGTTGAATAATTACGCCCATAAAATTATGAATAGATATCGACATTTAAAAAACCAAAGCATTCTAAAAATTATTTTGGAACATTCTGTGCTCTAGAATTAGGATCTTACAGGGTGATCATCTGACCACATGAACAATCATTCATCATCATCATGCTAATCAAAAATGGCTGGCATAGCAACA